AATACACCCCTTTTTTTCTTTTTCTTTTTTTTTAAAACTGATTTATACTTTGCTGACCTCCTTTCAATGCCGCGTTTGATAGGGAACAGGGAATTAGGGAGGGTAATATTGAAAGGAAATAAGAATTTGAAATTTGGCCAAGTAACGGACACAGCTGGTGACCTTTCGATCGCGATTCAAGGAAGGCTGAACGCACCTGGTGTGCGAAAAGACAGACGACAATTCGCGATTCTCTTAGCACGTGGCCAACGATTCGCCGCAAAAGGGACGCCAAGTGGACGTACGTCAACGGTTCGCCTTGCCTCAAAGGAATACCGCGCGTCCTCTCGGCTATGTCTCTCCTCTACTTCCGGAAGGTGTAACGCAGCCTTCCGCGTGCCGGCTACTTTTACACAACAGTATCGTCTCGCCCACTTTGCCTCTCGATTAAGCACACTGCTCGTGTGTACACTCGGGATCAAATCAGGGGAAGCGAGAATTCTGAAAATCGATCGATCAGAACTGTACGACCATTGGTTATATTTAACGCGTTTCCCATCCACGTGGATCATCGACGACCCGTAGCATTTATCCGAGACGGATATAAAATATAATTACAATTTTATCATTCGAAAACCCCGTGCACTTTGCATATAATAATTCAACGAAAATCCGATCGCTTAATCTCCCCCCAAAATTTCGTTCCCGCAAGGTGCATTATAATCGTTATAACCAAGGAATTAGGGCTGTCGCTGCAAAAACTAATAGCGGATTAAGTTTTAGAGTGGCCGCGATTAAAGGGATTCGAAGCGTAAGCTGGAAATTTACATAGTAACCACCCACACCTTTGGAGACGGTCTTTCACTCGATAGAAATTCGTTTCCTTTTTCATCGTAACGGCGTAAATAATTTCAGCCGGTTTAAATCAAGAGATTATTATTATTATGCATTTATGGAGTTGAGGGAAATTACAGTCACGACCCTGAAGCATAATGCGCACTGATTCGGCTCGTTGCGTACCGATTCTCCATTGTAATGTTTACGATTATAGGATACCCAACCCTCGCGATATTACTATGTAATAGGGAATATTAACGCAACCGTAAATTATTTATTAATTCATCCACGAATATCTGTATGTTCAAGAAATTATTACACGTAGGATCTCGTCAGGGTGATAATTAAAAGTAAAAATGAATTTCTGTTAGTAAAATCATCAACAGTGAAATTTCAGTGGACCAAAGGTTTCCGGTCAGCTGGCCTCGGGCAAGTGATTATTCGGTGGACGAGTGACGGGCGTAAGTAGCCGAAAAGCCGACATCGCAAACAGATGGGCCTCCATTAACGCAATTACCATCGGGTTCCGATGCACATACGGATTGTCCACATTATGACGAACATTGGAATCCATTAATACAGCTTCGGTTGCGCCCAGGTTCATTATCGTGCATTAATTAGCGACACCCTATATCACGAATGCTCGCAATGCTATCGGGCCAGGCTTGCTATTTCGTGGCTAACCGCGTGTTCGTGATGCTCGGCAGAGTGGTGATGGTGATGGCGCATCGTGGTAATGGTGGTGGTGGTTGCTGATCCGATAGGACATCGAATTGCTTTCGCTAGAAACTCGCGATTTCTGCCCAACTATCTCTATCCCTCCCTTCCTATTTTATACATATACTCTCTCTTTGTTCCTTTCACCGCGAAATTATTATATTCCCGTGTGTACGAATAGGACAAAGTTGACTGGCTCGACGACAAACATACATACGTGAAATATTCCCTCACCAAACATGACAAGTTTAATCCCTTTATTGTGGAAAATTTAAGAAAAATGTTTTTCACCTAGGAAATTTAGTTTAACTTTGTATGAATATTGATTGAATAAAGAGATAATTAAGGTTTGTATTCTATAATACTTGCCTGACCATGCACGGTTCCTATTCTACTGTGGCTGACCATATGATATACCCATACCACTTGCCCGACCAGATGGCACAGCCGACCGCCTGTCTGATCGCTTATTCTACTTGTTCCGCTTGTCTGACCGTTTATTTACTACTTCCCCTAGTGCCTCTATTATGGAATTCTCTTTGACTAAAAAAATACTATTATTTTTAATATCCAAGATTGGTTATTTAACCCTTTAACTGCGGATACTATTAGTATCAAGTAGAAGTGATATTCTATTTTGAAAGATTTTTATTTATTATATTTATTTTATTTTTATTTTAGCGGTATATAAGCCACAGCCGCTATTTGATATTAACAAAAAATTAACATGTTTATATACCATACCCGCCTCTGGCTATAATTTTAGTTTGTGGTTTATGAACCAAACTCGCAGTTAAAGGGTTAAAAAAAGACAAAAAATTTGAAAAAAGGCCATGATTCTGATTCCAGAAATCGCGATTCGAATATAACATAACAGAAGCAACATAACGAGAGGGAGAAAACCATAGGGGATCTAAGAGAGCAGCAGAGGAAGAAGGAATAGGTGAACGTTGAACGAAACAGGAAAGAACGAGCATAAGAGGTTGAAGAATAAAAAGTAGAAACGACGGTGTGCCGAAAAGAGGAAGCAAGCGAGAGAAGAGTGAGAGCAAGAGAGATGAAAAGAGCGTGCGACCAGAATTGGATAGGATAGGAGAACTGGTGATTACAGAGGCCGGGAATTCCATGGGGAGAGGCAGCAGTCCCGTGGGTTTCCACCTAATTCCATCCTGGCTGACTACTCTCTCTCTCTTCTATCCTCTTCATATTTCCCTCTCTGACCAACTATTGTGTGTTTCTATCGCTATTTCCTTCTCGAATAGTTTCTTCTCTCTTTCTCTAAAAACCTAGTCGCCTCTCTTTCTCTCTCTCTCTCTCTTTGCAAAGCGTATTTCTCTCTTTCTCTCTCAATTTCACCCTGTTACGTCCGTTTCCTCTTCCTATTTTCACCCTCTCACCTCTATACCCTCGTCTCTCTCGCTCGTTACACGAACCTCATCATCCTTACTCTCTTGTTATTCCGATTATCCCGGAACATGTATGTTTGCGTCCTGTTTGGATCATTCGAGCAAGCTGCTCGATGCACCAACTATCGTACCGGTTCAATTGTAATCGCGCGTTTTCCCTCGAAAAGATGTTACCGAGCATAATCATCGATTCGAGGTGATTCTAAATGATTTCAGCTTTTCAAGATGAACATAAAGCTAAGAATCATCGTGGACTGTTTGTTTTATTAATTTATACGTTTACTGATATGACGAAAATAATCACGTGTAATATATAGTGTATTATAATAGTAATGATTAGTGAAAATTGTTATATTAATGATAAATATGCCATTTTGATTCATTAATAAAATATACATCATTCGATAACGAATGCAATTGTTTTAAACCGACGCCGCCATCTTGGTTCGCGTGACACGTGACCTCGGCCAACGACGTTCCGATTACAGAATGTTATAAAAAAAACCACGAAACGACGCTTCCGTCAAACAATGCTTTCCAAGAAGGATTTTTAACACGTCGACTTTTTGTTTCTTCGACGATCTCAAGGTCTCGATAAACACAATATCGCGAACACACGTGTCGCAACAGCAAACGAACAGTTTACAAACACGAATGAAAAGGAAGAGAAAAAAAAACATCTGCGCCGCAAATTATAGTACCGACGCTAGCACAATCGTCGTCGCGAGCTTTTACAGCTGACACACGAAATTCTTGTGTATCTGATAAAAAAAAAACGATCTTAGGTACTCACGTTTCAGAGATCGAGGTTTCGCCTGCTTCCTTCTGGACATATCAGCGTGGCGCGTCACACCGCTGGCCAGGTTGCAATGACGGTTCAGCAATGACGGATTCAGTCACATTTCGCACTTTTCACGGAACACGATACGATCGCGCACCAAACGCTCACAACGCGTCGACGATTTGTTTCGAAATACGCACCGTTGACAAAATGCTACGACAATTTGTTTCGAAAAACGCACCGTTGACAGGACGCGATCACGAAGTACGTAGTCACGACGAAGATCGACGATTTCGCGCGAATTTGAACGAGGAAACTGTCTTCCGTTACCCGCGCTTCGTAACTATGGTAACGACGAATAACATCTTCGTGTGCCGAGAAGCCGTATTATACAGCTATCGAAAAAACGATTCCGATCGCACATAGAAAATTTTTCATAAGAAATAACCAGCTGTTTTAATCGGATACTTTTGTACTCGGATTCGTGCAAGTACCGGAAACCACGTGGTTTCGCATGACTCAAATACGCGTTCAAAGCACGACACACCATGAACACAGAACAAACGCGCTCGAAAGACGCGCGACGAATGACTGCGTAACCGCGACATCGCCGGCGCAGAGAACCACTGATACCGTTCGCGCATGCGCATTGGTTAACCTTAGCAGCTTGCGCAGTTCTTTTTATGACTGAAATAAATTTATATAAAAATTAGATAATAAGATATTTTTTTATACCTCTATTGTTTTAGACAACTGAAATATATTCAATATATAACGCTACTTTCATTCAATGTATTTTCCCCATTTCCTAACTTCATTAATTTTGAACGCATTCAAGTTTTTTCTTAATGCTGTAAACTACTCTTACAAAATTCAAATAAAAATATGAAATAACATATACTTTCTTATTTTCTCTTCCTTAAAACAAATATCTAACTTCTGATAAGATGCTTTTAAATGGATCAATATAATTTTATGTGAATTAGCACTTTGAAAACAATACCGTTAAGTCTATCTGGCGGTCAATGAAAAAACTAACCGAATCAAAAATTACTTTTTTCCTAAAGTAATAAGCAATAAAATAATAAAGGAGAATAAAAATAAGTGTTACTGACTTTTAAAAACTGGAACTACCAGCGTCTTCTGGTGATGAAATGCCCAACTATGATCGATGGTTCCATAAGGTGATTGGTTTATCACAAATTTCGTCTGTAGTAGAGCCTCCACACAAACTAAAAATGTATAAAATTGTTATTATGACTATTCATCAACTTTCATTTTGTTTTAACTTTTGTGTAATCATGGTATAAGTTTTGATTGGCGTACTTCATCTTTTCTACGTTTTACTGTATGCAAATTGCTGATACCTAGTGATTTAATTTATTCTGTCGACTCTTTTTGAGAGGTTGGAAACTTACTGTCTCAAAAATAAGCAGAATTTCAGCAATTTGCTCTGTGGTTCCATTAAACATTAATTAATACTTGAATTATTAACAACAAGGAGAAATATGTTGTCACTGGAACGTATACCAGATCAAGTTGGACATTTAGTTTTGACAGAGGATGGAGCTGTATTAACGGTAATGTTTTTGTTTACTACTCAAAACCAAATTGAAAATTTTATTATATAACAGTAATTACTTTCTGTGAAACTTTTATAATTGACTTGTTGAAAAAATAAAGGATACTTTACTGTTTTAGTCTGGAGGTGAACTAGAAAATGATGAAAGGGTTGCAAATATTATTGTTGGTTTAGTCACCTTAACTAATAAGATTGATCCTAAAGCATTTCCCAACAATGAGACTTTTGATAAAATATCCATAACATATCCAGATCATTGTTACATTATCTGTCTTTCAAACAAGAAGATTCACATAGTGAAGAAACTAATTTCCTCTACAACTGCTATTGTAGAACCACAACCCTTAATTGATGTATAAATATTGGACTTTTGTATCATATTATCTAAAAAAAATGTAAAAAAAAAAAATCATATATAAAAATAATGTATAACATAATAAAGATATGTATACTCTTAGAACATGATTAGACAAAAGTTTAATGTAAATTTATAAAATTTTTGTATGTAACTTGTTTCTAATCATAATAAATATTAATTTTTCTAATGTCAAAAAACTATCTTTTTCTAGTAGAAATAAAAATATACCTCTAAAAAACGATGTAACGCGGATAATTGAAACAATCACGATTTAGTTAATTACTAATGTCGTTTTATATTGTTTCGTAAATTGTTAAGTGATTACTTCCACTCATTACCTTACTAATTAGCACTTCATTTTTACATACAAATATTATACATAATAAATAAAAAATTATAGTAATTACATAGTTTTTTTATTTTAAATACCTAATACTACGATTCACTGTCGGCGTCAGAACTATCATATGTGACTAACGAGGTGTTTAATACACTGGTAGCTGTTTTCGATGTAGATTCTGGTTGGGTCAATTCTGGCAGCTTTGGTAACTGATCTTTCTGCTTTTTTGCATCGCTACTCGATGTAGGCTGTGATAATTTTCTTAACTTATCTTTAGATCGAACGATCGAAACCAACCGTTTCAATGAATTATTTCCGTTTCTTTTTACTTCTGAAACATAATAAACAAATGTATATTTTAATCGCTATTAATAAAGTTAACAAATTACTACCTTTTTTATGCATCAATAACTTTGCCAATTTTATATCATCTTCATGTTCGTTCACTAAATCAATATTTAGTCCGCTTTTCTTAAGTAGCGTTTGATCAAGACCTTGTTTTTTCTGTAATTCCTTCTTTCTTGTCTGCAATATCATGTGCTTAGTATCTAATCGTTAAAACATTCATAATATAGCAACTACAACAATAGAACAAAACATACTCTAAAAGCCGAACGTAATGCACAATTCGAAGTATAATCATCTTTCCAAGTAGCATCATTCAATGCCAACGCACTCTCCAAGGCGGAATCACGGGATTTCGCTACTTTCTTATCTTCTATACCATGCTCTAACTTATACATAGCATCGTCGTAAAGTCTGCATGATACTTCTTTTGTTTCTGGTACAACTTGCTCATTTTCCTTTGGATCCCATCTATTTTCTTGACGTCTTGCTCCACTCACTATTACATAATCTAGATTCTGAAAGAACGTGATTCCAGCAGTTTGTGAGTACTCCAGTATAAGAAGCACCTTATTTAATAAATTTTAAATTACTACTTACTGCAGGATCAGTCTTTATTTCAAAATGATTATCACAAAGATGACATTTCATGCGAAACTGATACAAAGGTGTACTATAATACATTCCAATCTTTTTCTTTTCTGCATTATAACGAACACCCATTCCTATATGATTTCCACATCCTTCACACCATATATTATATGGCATCTCAAATCTGATGATAAGGATACCCATGTGGAGCTTCCTTGCTCTCTCTCGTAATGCATGGGTACCAAGAAATTTATTTAATCCACCAACACGTGGATCATAATCAGGTGGATAGTATAAATTTGTTCCTTTACGTTCCCCCATGGTTCTACAAAAATTTTATGAATATAAATCAAATGGAATACGCAACGTAACGTGATAAGTTATCAATTTTTTAACATATTTAAATAACACAATACAAATAAGCTATACAAGTAATAATAACATTTGGTTATGATTAAAAATATTTGATAGTACAAACCATACCTTGAATTTTATTCCGTTCACAATAGTAAATCAAAATATCTGTATTTTTAAAAACTTAAATTTTGCACTTACTGTGCTCAATTTTGTTTACCTGACACTGAATTTTCAGGAAAAGTAATAAACCATCAGCCGAAGGACGTTTCGCTTCTGTGGATAGGTATTGGGATGTTTATTTCATACTATATTTGTGTGTTGGTATCTACAGGAAGCGCCATCTGAGGTGAAACATCCGCTCCATCAATTTGAACTTCAACAAACTTCTTAAAATATTTTAATTATTAAAAACGAAATTTTACATTTCTCATGTACAAGATATATAAACGTAGTATTATGTTTGGCTTCAGAATGTTTCATACAACTCTCTTATCACTATTACTTTGAAGGAACACAATGTGGGAATTGACAGAATGAAATGTATCATTGAAATTATAGCGAAGTCTTATTACCTTGCAATGTCAAATACTCAGAAACATATTAAGTAACGTTCATGGTAATCCAAGACTATTTAAAATAAGCTAAGTCAACAGATCTATATATAAAAAAAAAATAAAAATTGAAATAAACATCCATCTTGCCAGTCTACTTCATTAATCAGGTATCAGTTTCAACATTTCATACTGGTAGATCCAGTAAAATCACAACGCTTGTAGTACATAATTTTTTTCGTTACTTTGGTATCTTAAGTCATCTTCCAAGCAAAAAATTTTGAGAAAAAATTAAAATATTGTCTAAATAATAATGGGTTCGAGTAGCTTACGTACATCTTAAGATAATTAATATCTTTAGAAAAAGAAAACAAAAAAAAAAACAGTTCTTGAATAATAAAAAAAGTTAAAAAAATACTTATATGTATATATACTTTATAAGGTTAACAAGTATCGTAAATCACATTTATACTTATACTTTTGTATAAGTATCTGAGATATTTTAAATCAAATATAAGCTCTGTAATACTGTAATCTGAGTAACTAACTTTAGTTTGTACGTATCAAAAAAGAAACCATAGAAATGATTACAGATAGTACAATAAAGTCTCCATTTGTGTGCCTGGCGGACGACGTATAAATTGAGCTACCATGAAGGCAAGTTTATGAGCATACTGGCAAGGTGCAGGTACTCTCACGGTACCCGACCAATTATAATACATGTGACATAATTTATATGTCACACGTTGGATCTGGTCGGCTGTCCAACCAATTGTATCAGCAATTACATTGTACGCGCATGGCGTTACCGTACCTTGTCGAACACTTTGTGATACGATGAAGAAATCGTACCTCATTGGGTTCGTTACAATATCGTCTACTATGGTGCCTGGTGGAGGGTTCTCCCCGTTATAAAAGAACCGCGTATTAATACGTTTTGTAACAATGATAAAAGCCATTTTAACAGTGGTATCCCCATAGACGCTAGTCAATTTTGATTTTATCTGTTCTATCTCATGATTGTGTACGTACGGAACTTGGCCTTCGCCAACACCGTCACGATAAATCAGGATATGCGTAGGTAAACAATTGTTTACATCTTTATAACGTGCTAAAGCCTTTGCCATATTTACGGAGAACTCGTTCGACAGTTCTTCCCCTGTAGTGTGCGCGCTTACCGCGCTGAAATATCTCGTTAAACTTTTATCAAGGGATGCAACCATAGCACCGTAGTCGCGACTTTTGTCATTGGGATCATGGCACACATCGAAACCGACTACCATTAAATTAACTGGCGGTAACTCCATACTCCACGGGGCACCCCCAAGTTTGCATGTCAACTGGATCGCTACTTTAGTAGCGATTGATCTTACACCTTTAGAATTAAGATTTTTCGCAAGGAAAACTTGCGAAGGAACTGGCCGATCAATGATACATTTCTTCTTTATGGCACTGTAACGATCAGCTCGATTATTTGATACTACGCAGAAAACTAATTCAGGATTAGAAGAGCTCATTATTCTTTCCAGAGTATCGGAGTACGTGTTGGATCTGTCGTCATTGATGGTCCAAAATCTGGGATGCTCAAATCTGCAACCCATTCCACGAGCTGATTCTTGAAGGGTTGCAATGAATCTCTGTAAAACACAATGAAACACAATGAAACATATGAAAGAAACAATCCCGATTGATTTTGTACGATTTTAACATATCTTACTTCGACATCCGATCTCATACGATCCATATGAATTATCACCCAATTTGATAGTTTGGCAGGGTTGAACAATGCCTTATTGTGCAATTCGCGTGTCCAATCCGCGGTCGGCCCCGCAGGAACAGTTCTTTTACCACCAAGAACAATTTTCTCCGGTTGTAAACAACGTGCAGGTATTGTAACGAGTTTATCATCAAGTTGCAAGTTCCATTCTCTAAGTTCTTTAGATATTGCATCTTCACTTCGAAGTCGTCTATTGAAAGCCATCAGCTTGGTTATACGCAATTTAGGAGAAATCCGAGTATGCTCGGCCAATGCACGCATCAAGTGAAAGTTCTCTCTCATACTATCAGTTAAACCTGTGATAAAAATACATTGATTAATCAGTATATCCAATATATATATAAATAGTACGAATTCGAAACACGAACATACCTGTTGCACGGCACAATTCAGGTACAAGGTACACCATTTCAGGTTGACCAGCACGACGCTCTCTTGGTTTCAATCTCGTGACAAGCATTGGTTGGCTGTCATTCCTAATTCTGATCTGATATTTATTTTTATAATAATCTTTATACGATATACTTTCACCGCTTCTTAATTTGAATGTTGACAAAGGATTCGTGTCAAAATCTACATCACTTATACGATATGTATTATTGTTATAATCCGTAAGAACAACAAGACCGGTAACTTGTTTTTCAAACAATTCCTGAAAATAAATATTAATGCACGTTCGTAATTGACATTTAAAATATGTTATCAATTGATATTCTTACCTTCCAGGCACGAGAATTTTGTTGATAACAATCGTTCATTATATCCAACAGAGTTTGTTGCCGCATAACTTTATGCGTTACTTCAGCACACATAAGAATATCGTTCTCGTGCTGTCTTATCGAAGTCAAATATCCAGGCCAAAGTTCTAATCTAAATTCACGAACTTCTACCTACAATGTAATTGCAGTTGTGTAAATGTACATTAAAATAATAATTTATTATTTACCTTGCTGCGTGCGTCGAAGTAATCTCGTCCAACGAGTTGAAGTTTTAGCAATTCTAAACATTTACGCATTATTATATTAAAGAATTGAAGGTACTGCGGATCAGCTCTTTGCATTTCTCCAACAAGTCGTATAGTGATTCTGATATTTGTATTGTCTGATGTTCGTACAGACCAAAATTCTTCTTTCTAAAATCATACACATCTTATGAATATACGTCTATTTAAATATTAGTCATGTAAAACCGATTTAGTACAAGATTTTACATCCTGTGTGCGTCTGCTTGAATAAAGAACAGTTCCATCGAAGACATAAGCTCCTAATTTTTCCCTATGAAGTCTAAGCAAACCTTTTCGTACGACGGTACGGTCTTCCTCGGGCGCAAAATCAACTCTATACTGATAGAGACACCAATCAGTCGTGGCCAATAATTTGAAAAAATTAGCTTGCAGTTGTATCGCATTTCCAGTAGAACCTAAAGATTATATTTATCCAAGACGTATATTTGATATATTTTATAATCATTATTAACACACTAACCTTTCTTAGTCACTAGAGTCGATGGTCTTGTGTATGTTTCGACAGGTAATGGCCGTCGACCCCGCATAGCTCCACGTCCAAGTACTACTACATCACCACCTCCGCCAACTACAAACGAATTTATGTATTAAAAATATTTATAATACATAATTTAATACAGTTTTCTAGACTTACCTTCCATTGGTTCAGCACCACCTTCTGCTCCTGCATATCCCGGACCACTATCACCTCTAGGTCCTAAACGCTCTACTGCACGTGCTGAAGGCTACGACATTAACGTTATGCAAATACTTCAAAAACCCAAGACTGGAGTCTAAATTAAAATGTAAAGTATGATATAGATGATATGATGCATCAAAGGAAAATGTACAGACATATACGTGTATACATTTGATTTCCATGAAATTTGTATGGCTTTGGTAAAAGATATGGTATTCCAAATATACAACATTTCATACAAATAACAAATATGTGGGACGACTATAATACGTTAAACAAAAACATAAGCACTAACCTTTACTGGAGCTTTTACTTTGGAATAACTCTACACAAAAAAAAAAAAAACAATAAAATATGATAAGTCATAATTTTTTGACTGAAACTAAAAACAGAATTATTTCTCTCAACAAATACATTGTTCATTTATTTTCAAAGAAATAAGGAAAACATAAGGGAAAAAACATATCAACTATAATCTTTATTTTAAATACAATATAATGTTAAAAATATAAAGCATTTATGATACATTGTACACCACAAACATTGTTTAATGTTCTTTTACTTACCGGTGGTGGTTGAGCTGGTCTTGCATATGGTGTTTGCGAAGATGGACCTGGTTGTGGCTGAAGTCCAGGTCTACGACTCCAGGCACCCTGAGGCTGAGGGTATTGGCTGGGAGGTCGTGGCTGTGAATGTTTATCATCTTGACCTCTTGCACGGCCACGACTCTTACCTCTACCTTGATCAGCCATGATCTATCTTTTGTCCCTAAAAGTTTTATGAAAATTAGAACATTTACATTAATTTGATCTACATCAAGATAATGATTTTTTATTCATTTTGTCAAATATATTCCTTTTCAACATGAAAGTATTGATAATCCTTCAAAAATTTTGTTTTTTACATCCAACGATTATAAAGATTCCACGAACTAGGTGGAAAAAAAAAAATATCGCAAGTATATATTCCGCAACAAAGTAATCACGTTTCGATACAAACAACGCCGGTCAAATCAAGGTTAACCACGTGTTTACAAAAAAAAACCTACTAATAACAATAATCTAAAAATCGTTACCTCTCCCCACAAGTATATCATATTGTTGTTAAATTACGAATAAATAACATAACTTAATTAACTTAAATAAATAACATAATTTACAAAAATTAACATCGATAAACCGATCTAATCTGATCTTCAATATAAAAAGAGAATTAGTATGAAAGATACAAAATTTGTTAATACATACATAACTTATTTTATATACTGATAATACACTCACTTTCTAAGAAATTAAAACTTCATATAATTATTTCTTAGAAACTGAATTCTGATTCGCTTTAATTATAAACAAATAAATAAATAATGAACAGTTTAATTACAAATTACTTTCTATGGATGAATTAAAACGAAAACCAGTAAACTGAGATTGAAGGTACATTTGTTTTAGAATAAAATTTAAAAAATTACTTACTTAAAACTGTATTTTACAGTGTTGACAAAATTTTGAACTAATTGTGTATGAAAATAGTAATACTGACTATTAACTACAGTATAAAAGAAAATTTAGATGGATAAAAATCTACTTCTACCTCCTGCTAACTGAATCAAAAACTACGTATACTGCACTTCTCTCCCACCTCTCGACGAAACCATTGAAATTTCGTTTACCCAAGCTATACTATTACGCATGCGTCATAAAATAACATGCGAATATTATTTCGCTTTTACAGTGCTGTATTTAATTCGAATACCCTTGAGTACTTGTGTATTCCTAAAACATGTTCCCATATCACGTAACGCATCAACCGTAAAACGAAGTAACACATATATTTAAGAAAAATATTGTATGAATCTGTACATTTTGACTGTATATGTTTAAAAAATGTGTTAATAAGAATTTGTTAATAAGTATCAAAATAGATACGGTCATGCAATTTTTAAAGCGCATGAGCAAACCCCCACCATTTATATGACGCAAGGTATTATGGGTATTTTCTTGCTACTTAAATTTTCAAAATACATTAGAGATAAGACCGAAGGAAATACTTTCTTCTGATTCGTCAATATATTCTGCCATACTAATTGGCGGTTTAAATTTTCGACCAATCACACAAAAGAAGAAAAAACAGGACAAGCAACCTAACACGTGGTATTAGCTAACCTATTTGGAATGCGTTGAAAAAAGATATCTATTGAAAATTTTTATATTGTTAATATGGGAAAACAGAAGAGGCAAAGAACAAAACCCCATAAAGAAAATCCTACTGGCCTTCTATCTGTTAAGGATTTTGAAGCAGAAGAAGATGAGTATGATGTCAACGCGGTTTCAAGACCTGCTTTACAGACAGTATATGAAAAAGTTAGTTCCTTTTATAAATGAAGTTCTTATCTACTGTAATTTTACATTAATAAAATTAATAAAATTAATAATCTTATAGGTACAGTCTCCTAATGTTGAAGAAAAACTATGCGGATTGCAAACATTGGAGTCAATGTCTTGTGATTCGACATTTGCTGCACAGATTGCAAAAGATGAAATTGCTAAAATGATAGGACCACTACTCATTGATCCAAATGTAGTTGTAAGAGCATACAGTGCTAGTGCTTTAAGGCATATTGCAGATAATGGAAAAACAGAAGCACATGCAAGTTTATTAAAAGATGATATTATGACTCCCTTATGTACCTTATTGCAGAAAGTAAGTCTGAAAACTAGGTGTATATTCTTTGTTATTATAGAAGATAATAATTGATTCATAATCCATAGTATTATACAGAATGGCAACCAAAATCTGACCAGAGTGAGAGAAGTAAATTTAAAGATGAAGAGAATGCATTTATCCAAGCAGTCACATTATTATGGACCTTATGTGAATATAATGAATCTGCAGTCAAAATTGCTAATGAAGCAGATCTTATTTCAGTTTTAACCAAATTTTTTGATATTAGTATTTATGGTATAGAAATTGCTACAATTACTGTACAATGTTTATTGGCTTTGTCTGAAGATAATCCCACTGCTATTCAAAAACTTCAAAGTTGTGAAAGCACGATTTTTCAATTGTTAGATCTGGATCCAAAGAGTGATTCCATTACTGAAGTACTTTATCTTAAAACTGCTGTCAGTGGATTAATAATTAATATAATTGACTTTATGGATAGTAATTCAGCCAATATAGCCAGCAAAGTGATACATACACTTTCTAATACACTCTCCATTGACTGCAAACAGTTGTTGTCCAATTTAACATCAATTTTACCACATCAAAAGAATGATTACTCAGATAAAGCAAAGAAGAAAGTACAGGAAAGCAGAAAAGTTTTAAGTGCCCAGCAACAAGCATTAGAAATTTTGGCTAATTTATGCACTGAAGATCAAGAAAATAATGTTGATGATGATTCCAGTACAGATCATTCAGATCATGAAGCTGATGATGTGGATGACGTTTGTATGGATGATAAGTCGCGTAGTAAAATCATGTTCACAGTACCACTGGAAATAATCGAAGTTTTCAATAATTGCAGTATATTAAAGAAAGTGTGGGATAAAACTTCAACTGTAGATAAAGATACCGTAGAAATACTAGAACAAAATGCCGAAGGAGAAGCTGTTTTAAAGCAAATGCATACATTAAACTGCAGAGCTTATTTGTGTTTGAATAATCTAATGTCATGTTTGGAAATTGATGCACTTGGTGGTGCGGAAAATATATATAGGTAAAATGTTTATAAACATTTTTTCTTTAAACTACGATGTCAAAAATCTCTTAATTAAAATATTTTTCAATTTAGAATGTGGAATAATATTGGAACAGTTGTTTTCAAAGATGCAAATCCAACTGACACCGAATTGTTAGAATCCGCTACTGCAGCCATGAGGGCCGCCCTTGAAAGATTATCCGATGCAGAAATAAATGTTTTTAATCAATTAACATTAACTGATATTCAACCAATGTTAAATGGAGAACGTCAATGCCAAGATCCTAATGTCCGAGTAAATTTGCTACGAATATTAGGAAATTTAGCTTTGGTTTTAATGAAGAATAATACTTCTGATGCGAGTGAACTAATTAAAGTAATAATTTGCAAATTTGTATTAAAATTTGATCTTTCATCTTTTATAACGAGTAACTTCTTTTTCAGCATATATCTGTATTTTTACTAGACACTTGTGTGAATGAATCAAAAGTCTGGGTTATGGCAGAATGCTTAGATTCCATAATGGACATATACGCGGAAGATGATACCGATAAAGCAGCAAATGAAATCGAGTTGCTAGAAAAATTACGAGCTCTAGTGCCACTTTTTAAAAATAAGGTAAGATACTTCTTTGAATGCTTTTTCTCTCTTTGTAATCATTTCTTTTTTAAACAGATGCGACAACAACGGAAAACCTTAGGAGATAATGTTGCAGTAGTGTCTACAGTAAATACCAATATCACGAGGTTTATAAAATATAAGGAAAAACGAATGAAAAATATTTAGACGGTTTTTCTAATGCAATGTTAGTACATGGATGTACTGCAATGATATTTAAGCTTTATATATATATTATTTGTATAAAATATTTTTATCTATACTAACAAAAAAAAGATATATAAATAAATCTTATAAATAAAACTATCGTCTTCAATTCTTAAAATGTTTCAACGATTCTCGTACAGAAGGAACATTATGAAGGTAGTAAAGTTTTCAGACTTTATTCTGCATCAATAAATAACGAAAGACTAAATAAATTGGAGACAGATACGATAAAAGTTTCATCTTTTGTAAGCAGGCTCCAAGTACATAACACGCATACTTATGTTTGTTAACCCTTTGAGGTATCTACAAAGGAAGGTACGTTGAAAAAGAATTATTATACGTTTATAATAATCGTTATTGACAATGGTGCTTCAAAGGGTCGACAAAAATTATACGTTAAATAAAGGCACATGTACACGATATCTGCACAGTCTTGGCAGAATGTTTCGACTAAAAAAGATAAAGGTGTACCATCTTTCCATTTAATTTCGATGCCGAAACAATAGCACAATCTTCTATACAATTGAAAATTAAAAACATAAGCTCTAAACCGACTTCCCTCGAGTCGATTCAAGGCTTCTTTGTGTGTCGTTTGATGTCACATTTGATTCCGATTCGTTTAAATTCAACGAGCTGTGTCTTCTCGGTTTTGGTATCGGATTCACAGACTCGAGTATCTTCGCCTTCTGTTTAATAGGTTCCGAAATATGAAGCTCGATCACCTTTACTGGATCTCTAGGCGCAACTGCGGGAACAGGCGACTCGTTTAATCTCACCACATGAATGTCTTTCTGTTCCCTAGGGTATTCCTTAAATTCTATTTTAATTGCACTTTTGTCATTCTCATTTTCTACCATATTCTGGAAGAAGTGTCTGCGATTCGCCTGAATCGACTGCCTAGTATTCTCATGCAAATCATTCGCATCCTTTTCATCCGACGAATCGTTGGAAGCGTTTCTCGTCTCGAGAGCTTTTATTTGTTTCTCGATCTTCTCGATTTCATCCTTCACCGAGAAGCTGTCGCTTCTGGATAACGCGCCGGAAGAACTCTTTCGTCTGAGACATACATCTTCCAATTCAGATGACGAATTTACTTGATCGACGTCTTTAATAATTTCTACATTCTCTTGAGAAGTTCTATGATACTCAATGTGAACATCTTCGTTTTTCTTCTCAGCATTCTCCTTATCCGTTTCTTCTTGATCCTTCCTTGTCGAACTTTCCGGTTCGATTTCTTCCTTTTCTACACAATTCTCATCTGTACATTCTTCCTTTTCAATGTTCTCTTTATTTTCTGTACATTTAATTGCATCCTCTGTCGTGGATCCTTCGGTTGACTTCTTTTCAGTATCAGTAGCCTCTTCTTGGTCCAAACTTTTGCTCTTTTTCGTCATCTCGTGAATATTTTCAGTAACCCTCGCTATGTCGCTTGGCTCAACTATTTGAAGCTCTACGTTAGGTACTTCAGGAACTTTCTATTCAACATAAGGAAGAGGAAAGTCAGGATCTAAAGAAATCTTGTCTCTTGAAATATCCTTTTAGAGCTTACCTCGGTGTCTAATTTTTCTACACGACGCGGTGGCTGCGGTGCTTTACGTTTCTTACGACCGTAAACGCTTATCGTACTACCAACGGAAACACAGCTGTTTATCGAAAGATTCGACTTTCTAACCGCGTCTTGAGTAAACCTCTTGAACACGTAATCCTCGGGAACATTTTCGTTTTCGTCACACAACGTGACGTCGCCCGATCGACTCGCTTCCTCTTCTGAATCCACGGTACTCGAATTTGTCCTTTGCGATGATCTGTTACCGAATCTTCGCCTGAAACGTGACAATCTTTTCCATTACATCGGTTGAATAAAAAGAATAGAATACAGATTTCTAAATAAGCCCTAAGTTCTTACAAAGGTGGTACAGGCGTGCTTTCCTGCGTTTTCTCGCGAAGCGTTACACTTCCATTCTCCTTTGGACTCTTATCCTCGTAGTCCAACGGTGGTATTTTATCAGTCGGCTTTGGACTCACCTGACCAAATCTAATCATCAAATCATATATTATATCATAAGATAATAGTTGAAACGATAATTGATCATTTCTGATGAATTCACCTTCTTGCTGGTGGCTTTGGAGTGAGATCACCCATGATAGACGTGGTCGTATCCTGCGGACTGCCATCGTAGATCCTCGCAGGATCACCGTTTACGGTCAAACTCGAGCTGTATCTCGACGATGAATTATCCAGCGTGTATTTTCTTCGTCTCGCCAAGGTACCAAGGGCTTCGTCGAACTCTTGTTGATCCTTCGTCGCCCGGGCTGCTGTTATTGGTTTCGTGCAAGGCTCCCGTTTGTAGGTGGACGAAACTATAAAATGAAATTAATGATAAAGGAACCTGTTACGCTCTAAGGTTCTACTCTTATAAATTATCAAAAATATCTATTTTCCTTTTTAATCACCTGTAGTTATCGTAGACCTCTTCTCTAGCTCTTCTGATCTGTCATCCTTACGTTTGCCGAATAGTCCATTCCTGAAAGCAATCAATAGCAATTAATACAATGTATTTACATCTACCGAATTGTTATTCTACAGTGCAAAAGGTTCTCATTCCGTATAATCTTGTTTCAAATAATTCGATCAAACATCTGACTCATGGTCTCCGTTCTATTCGTGAACCAATTTGTGATCTAACATCTGGTTGATCTCGGATCAAGACTGACGCAGAGATAACGACGGAATAAAACATAGCATCAACGCATGGTAACGATAAACGAGAAAAACATTACAGGTAACTGAACAGTGTGTAACAAATGAGATGATAGACGCGAACGATTGACGTCAGGAGACATAGTTTTCTTATTTTATCCAACGCCAAGAATATCGACCCAACCAGTGTCATAAGAAATTAAATACAGCGATACAATTCTATAATTTTCATCATCTTTTCATCACTGACTGATAACATCGATCTCTTTATAAATAGCATCGCTCGTATAAGATAAATAATAAAACGATTTATGAATATTAAAAACAATCTTTCTCTCCTGTTCTCATCATCGCCGCATTACGAGTAAATTGAATCTTAATTATTACTCGGACAATAATCCATTTCGACCGTCAATCAGACCGGAACTCTTTCATTCTACGGAAAATACGCTCGCGTCAGAATGAAGATTTCACCGTGAACTCTCGAACGTCGAGTTTCCTCAAATTTCTTTCCACGAATGATTTTAGAAAGTTTCAAGTTATTCGACGTTGAGCTTTACAAATGAATAAAGCTTATCCAGAATTGTGAAACTTTTGATATCATAGATATAAATTGATAAAGTAAAGTAGACAAGAAAATGTTTCAGACATAGATTGATCCGAAGAGGTAGAAAAGTCAATATTAGAAATCTCAACCTCTTGTGTGCTATATTTCAACGTAATCACCGTTGTCTCTGCGTTAAATGATTAATGGCTTACGTAGAAGAGGATGAAAAAAACTATCTACAGGTCAGCAGACCATCTATGGATGATTATGTGACGCATCCTTGCCTCGGTTTTGTTTGGATAAATCGACCGAATATCGAGACACGTAATTTGCGACAAGCAGAGACACGCTTTTCAGACAGTATTATAATAAATTTAACAAATATCGACGAGAGATTATTGCGTGCAATCTGATGAAATTTAGGAAAGCTGTACTCGGTATCGATGCATTGCAAACATAAATGAATTCTATAAAAGTGAAATTAAGGTGATACGGTCACGTAAGATCTGAGAAAACTTGTCCAAGATCGATGGCCTTGTTACAGCAGAGTATTTCTAGAAAATTTATGAAATATTTGATAACCATACTTGGTAGAATACTTGATATTATTCCATCGTTTAAAAAAAAAATTCGCTTAGATTCCCGCAGTTTTATCAAATTACAAGCGTATATTTTAGACAAATTATTTTCTGCTTCATAGATATATCGTGGATCACTGATAACATTCATTGCGTAACTTTATCATTAAGATACTATTAAGAATTATATCATACATTTTTTCTATATATTAACTCTTCAAGCTGAGAAATAAAATCAATTTATCTTAGAACATATAACTGTTTCGATACGTAATTAACAATCAATCAAACGATTGATTCTAAGGAGATTGTTTTAGCTTTAGTACAAGAATAATCAAATTCGACGGAATTGGATGCGAAGAAGTAATTACGCAGGAAGATCTGTGAAACGTGTCTTCAAATAGAAACACCAAAGACCTTTCGAACGGAACTCGACCTGACGTCGATCGTCTGGTACGTTCTCTTTATTTATGTCGTTTGGATGAGAGCCAAACGCAGGTAAGAGCTGCGTACGATTCACGTGTGCATTTCCTTTGCCGTGATAAGTTCAAGTTCAACAAACTCGTAGCGGTAGCTTTCCAAATTTATCAGATTGCCTCAAAAGTTTGTATGTTTCCTAATATGCTCAATGACTTAAGATTATTAATACAAACGGTCTGCTAGCACAGATTAAGCTCAATAAACAAAATAAATTAACTCCTTGACTCAAAGCACCCTAAGGAGAATCCGGAGCTCGAAAAATGTGGCTTGGCTCCTTTATATTTCAGGATTCTTAAATTTTACTACTTAACACTGTTAATAAAATTAAGAGACTTAAAAATCCTAGTTACAAAAATATTCTAAGGAGTTAATTTATTAAATTTATGAGCAGGATTCGAAGGAACGTTCTTCAATGTACATTTACCAAGTAGATTTAATAGAAAAACTGTTGGATCTCTTCTTCCTGCTTCTACCAAATGTCCAAAACTTGTGCTTAGAATCTTTCGTTTTCCCATCGCGATAGAGTTGAGGCTGCGCGTTTGTGATTTCATCGTTGAACGGATTCAAATGTTCCGGATAATCGTATATGGATACACTTGGACGTCTCGAACGCGACATATTTCACTTTCCTCGGGGAGTTTTTGAATTTTATCTGGATCTGCAGCAACGTAATATCGTCGTCGCGACGTCAGTACAAGGTTCACCGATCCCTCATCGTCATCCTCTTGGCGACACCGCGTCCGTCTGAAAATATACAATGAATCGAGTTATTTTTACATCCTCGTCCATTTGAAAGGCGCAAAAATAAATTTAGAAGAAACAGCGTTAAATTTAAAAACTGAAACTGTTATAATTTTTCATTGATTTGCCCTACGCTCGTATAAATAATTTCGCAATCAGGATGAAGAGTTAATCAACGACGATTGATAAATGAAAAAAAAAAAAGAAAAAATGATTTTGATTTGAGATATAATTGCTAGACGCACGCGTCCCATGTCGTCTTGTTGCACCAATTGTCGGATCAAATCGTACGACCTGCGATGGCCAATTGACGATTATTGAGTACCAATGGTCGC